TGTGGGAAACAAACCCAGGTCTTTGGCGTGACGAATGAACGCTTTAACCATTCAACTACCCAACCAACCCGATAGTAACTTGACGACGATGATGATGATGATGATCATCATCATCATCATCATCATCATCATCATCATGAAGTCAACTAGATGTACAGCTATCAAAGCTATTCCCAAGTACCAAATGTATTCTGGGAATAACTAGAGCTTTAAAATTAACCGTGCATGCTAACAGTGATGACATATTTTATATTATAACATTTAACTGAATTATTTATAGATCAGTCATGAAACAGAACATCATTAATAAAAAAATAAATCTGGACGCAATTCCTATTTTCCTCCACATATTCTCAAAGTACAGGAGAACGTGCTGCTGGCTGAGATTGACAGGTAGTAACCCTATATCTATATCATTGGGTATCATTACTACTGGCAAACAGGAGTAATGCCCAAGGGGCTTGTCGGATATGGAAATTCACAGCAAAACAAAACAGGGCCTTTTTGTTGTGGGAGTGAAAAGATTAGTCTCCAATTACACCTTATAGTGAAATGCTTCGCTTGTCTCTGAGGTGCGCCTTCCAACGTCTTTACATGGTTACTGATGCAAGCAGCCAGGCACAAAGACTCCTGTGTGATACAAATAGTCCAGCAGGGTTGTACCAGTATTGATGGGCTTCAAAATGAATAATGAGCCATGTTTATTACAGTTTAAGACCATTTGCAAAGCTGAAATGAGCGTAATGGGAATAGTGATTTCTGTGTGATTGGGTTTGATTGGGGCACTTTGGTGAAGGGTTTTGTCCGAATTCGGCAGGTGGGTGATTATGCACCATTGTAGATCAGGTTGAGTTTCAGATTTTGTTTTTGTGCAGTTGTACATGCTCTGCTGTTCAGCTGCTGTGCATTCATTATGCATAAAGGGACAATAGTGGAATTGCTGTTTTGCATACAGTTTCTCACTCATGCATACAGCTGTACGATTTCCATGTTCAGGGGGAAAAATCTGTATTTGTAAGATAAAATTTGATTTTGTTTTACAGTTTTCTTTTTATATCTAGGTTATGTGTTTTATCAGTGTTTATGGTGATAATTTTTAGGCTTATGGATCCATTAACCCCAGTAAATTGAACATGCATGTGAAACATATTCTAAAAAAACTAAAGTAATAATAATTTTTTTTATATCCTGTTGAATTAGTGTTGCCAGCTTGACAAACTGCAGTTCACATAGCAATATAGTTTTATCATGTTATGAACGTTTTAATTACAGATAATGTTTTTATTTCCAAACATGATTAGCATTTTTCACACATAAATCAATAAAGCACGAAATAAAAAAAGTCTGGGCTTAAATGAAAAGTAATTACCGGTATATTGACGACAACAAATATGACTTTTTTTCTGTGGAGCATAAGTGTGATCCTGGCTGTATATGATCATCTCCATTGGTACACAAGCAGTGATTGCTGAGCATACGGAGTGACAATAAACTCGTTGAGTCACTGGACAGTCATTGTAGAAATATCACAAAGACTTCTCGCATGGCTTGGGTAGCTGTATAGATTTAATTATCGATACAAATCCATATGTTTGATTGTACAACTGAAATGCTGGCATTAGTCATATTGTACTTGTCCCATGGTGTGACATGTGTCACCCGGCACTTGGTGACGGCAGTCATGGTAGCTGACAGTTACAGTCAGCGGCATCTGGCGTCTTAATTATCATATCTGTTGTTGCCATGGTTGTGGGGACTGTCACACCTTATTGGATCCAAAAAGCGCCTTCGTCATTTAAATATATTAGATGACTCAAGTCACAGGTTTTGACTGTGGTCCACTTGGCAAGCGTCATCAATCATGACAAGTAGGAAAAAGAACAAAATCGATACCCTGTTTCGCTTCCTTTCATCAGTAGTTAATAGAACGAAAAGATGATTTGAATGTGTGAAAATTAGGGTAATTGATAGGTAAACAGGATGGTAAACTATAGCTTGGTAAAAATATGGTATGCCTTTTTGAGTTGTGATCGTTTTCTGACCCCACAGTATACTTGTTTGTATGTTGGTTGGTTGATGACTCGCTTAGCAATATTCCAGTTATGTAACGGTGGTCTATAAATAATCAAGTCTGAACCAGACAATCCAGTGACTGACATCATGAGCATCGATTTGGGATATACGATGACATGCATCAACCAAGTCACCAAGTCTGAATCACCATCTGTTCCTGTTAGTCACTTCTTATGACAAACATGGGTTGCTGAACACCAGTTCCAGCCCAGATCTTCACTGGGATACCTCTAGTATAACTCCTATCTCTTAGTGTCGAGGGCAGTCGGTTAGCCTAGTGGTTAAAGCGTTCTCTCGTCATGCCGAAGACCTGGGTTAGATTCCCGACATGGGTACAATGTGTGAAGCCCATTTCTGGTGTCCACCGCCGTGATATTGCAGGAATATTGCTAAAAGTGGTGTAAAACCATACTCACTCACTCACTCACTCACTCACTCACTCACCCTTGGTGTCGATGCTGAAAATGGATCAGAGTGAGAGGGATGAAGTATCAATGGCCACTTTTCTTTATTCAGGTTCTCTTACTGATCTTTGTTCCCAAGACACTGCTCATTGGTCTAAACAGTGTGACAGTAATATGCTTACACTTTTCAAGAGAAAGGCAATCAGCAAAAAACTGACAACTTACTTAGTCAATATTTCCAGTTGGAAAGAAGTCATTTATTGGATATGGATACAAAAGGTCGAAATGAAACTGCCGGCACGATATAGTAATGCCTGATATTTTCTTGTGTTGCTGGTGCCAATGACCATGAGGACGGTCAGAAATGAAACCCATGAGAAACATTATTTGTTTACCTAAAATAGTAAACTGTCGGGCAAAGAAAGCAAAAACCCATGCTTGATGTATAGGATAAACCACACCTCCGAGGTTTTGGTTGAAAATGTAAGACCGTAAGCGAGGGAAAAGACCACGGGACAAAGACCCAAGTTTTATTCCCGAGCTCAAGGTTTTATTTTTTCAACCAAAATCTCGGAGGCGTGCTTTATCCAACTTATCAACCATCTGTCAGGTGAGTTTGTCAGGAACCTAATGCAATATAGGGTAATACGGTGATAGGTTTATAAGCTGACTTAAAATGACATAAACAAGGAATGGTTATTCGATGGCGATGTATTACATGTATTAGATATCATGAGATTCAGGTATCATTGTTGTGTTTAGACCTTAATATTGCAGTGCTTCAGCGACCATTTTAAGCCCAGTCATTTTTTGGTTCAAATCCAATTTGTATAATTTTTTCTTGCCCGCAAGTTTAACATTTCTCGAACCCTGACAAGCAACATCTGGGTGCTTTTGTAAGGACTGTTGCTTATTGGGTTTAGTACAGTATGGGTTTATAGATTTCAGCTTGTGCTGTCACAACACGGTTATCAATTATTGTTTTTCAGAGTTCAGCTTGATTGTTGGTGGTAACAGATGGGTGCTGGCTGAATGTTCCATGGGTTTAAATGTTTTCACTTGTCATGTTTATAATTATATTACATGTGTTGTTATGATGGGGATGTCAGGAATGTCACTGTGTTTACGTTTCAACCGGTGCAAACAGAAGCTGGAATCTGTACGTCAGTGTTAGGGAACATATATTCATGGCTGGTGTGAGTCAGGCGGCAATATTCACAAGTCCCTGGTCAACTATAACAACTGCGAGTGGCCGTAGAACCTGTAGTCTCAGTTAAGATGAGGGGATCCTACCTAGTTTTTGATTACAGGGACAAGCACTCGGTATGCGAAATAAGCACCTGCCCGGTAGCCCATGGCTACAAATTTTTCTTTCTGGCTTGTGAAAATAAAATCAAGGTAGCCCTACTGGCTATCTTAATTTTCTATGTAGTAATGTATCTATATAATATTGTTATTCAACTGTCTCATGTGAAAGTTCGAAACAGGATTATCTTGCCAAAATGATCTACAGCTAGGGCTTTGTCGTGCTTGATCTGGTCGCTTGTCACTCGTTCTGCAAATGACAGAAACCTGTTTGATATTGATAGAAGTTCTAATCTAGCTAAACTTGAAATACATTTTCTCTCTCTTCCACCAGATTTCCCTTTGTATTTGGTAATTGTAAAAAACAAAAAAAATGAGGACGCAAATCTAAAAGTGGCTTAAAAATTATCAAGTGAGCCTGACTGGCAGGTACTGTTGAAAAACTATTTCACACACTGCACTTTTCATGCTTATTTCAAAATGTCACATTGAAGAAATACATTTTTGAAAGTCGACCCTTTCTTCTTATTCAAGAACATGCTGACAATTTCATTTTTTATGGATTTTTGTCACAAATTAAAAAACCAGTTATTCTTTGCAGCTTTTTCATATCAGTTAGATATAAACTGGGCCCTGAGTGTTCATAGCCCCTCAACAGTAGATCCATGTTAAACTATTGAGTTGACTTCAATGGTAGTTCATGACCGGAGTGAACAAATGTGTAAGCCAGAGATAGGTGATTAGCTTGCTTAAAAATAAGTATCTGAAATAAGTCCAGAGATTTGTCTGTCATAAATCCTGGCTGAAATATTTGGACTCACTACCAAGATTTCTGAACATAGCAGATACTGTGTGTTGTTTAGTTCTTTATTAAACCTCACACACACACAACACACACACACACACACACACACACACACACACACACACACACACACACACACACACACACACACACACACACACACACACACACACACACCGTGCATGCATGTCACTATAGAGGTGCAATTATATTGGACGTGACAATAAGCCCCATTTCACCTCACCCCACTCACTCACTGATGTTGGTTCTGGTGAAAAGACATTTTCATGCCCCATGTTATGTAATGATGAAACACGATGAAAGAAAGTGCCATAAACTAGTGACCCAGCTCATTGCCTCACCAACCTTGTCTATTTGTGAGGATTGCATGTAACAGTTAATTTGTGTTTCAGGTGGACCTGCGCCAGCTGGACATGTCACTGTTGTGTCAGCTGTGGTCACTGCATGAAGCCATTCAAGAATACAAGGTGGTCATGCAGGACCGGTACTCCGAGACAAACTCTGAATGTTCCTTCGGGACGGGGATGTCCAGTCGAGTGGGCTCCTTCTCCAGCCTCAACGACGACAGTGACTGGAACGACCAGGACTACCACATGCAGCCTGAACCAGACTACCATCTGGCAAACTCCATACACAGCAGCACGTCCAGCCTCCTTCAGCAGATCAACCAGCTGAAGGAGAGAGTTGATGCAGAGTTCTGATGGCAAACATATGATGACCTTACCATCACCCACATGGTGGTTCCGATACAGGCATACTGTAGTGTGTTCTGCAGTGTCTGTGTGTGATAGGATGTACAGTGCTTGAATATGCCAGGAGTGTTCTGGTTTGAAGACTTGCAAGACGTGCTAAGAGCTTTTGTGGATATCAGGATTTCAAGCCATCATGGCAGCTTGTTTGGCCTCAGGAGTTTTGTATCAACGGAAATTGGTTTGGCTGGAAAATAACTGTTAAATTGTCTTGGATATGCTACTATGCAAACTTCTGGTATAAAGATAGTCTAGCATTCTTTTGGGCAAAGTTCTTCCAGTGTGTTGCTGTTCATCACTCTTTCTTATAATTTGCCCAGGAAATAGTTTTGTCATTTTACAGGCAGGAAAAGAATATGGAAACTATACTGCTCTAAAGAAGTTAAAGAAGACCCAATATTTTCATAAGACTTCAGTTCTTCTGTCATGTCAAAAGACGTTGAAGACATGACAGATTAACTATTGTCATATGAAAACAAATTGGACACATGGGGAAGAAGTCTTCTTATTTTCCTGAACCTAAATTAAAAGATGCCAAGCTGTTATGCATGATGCAATAATAATATACTTGACAAATTTTATGAAAGTGTTTTTGAATTAAAAAAGTCAATACCTGCTCTGGTTGCAAGTTAACAAGTTTACTATGTAGAGTGAAGACCCTACGATGACATATGGTCAACATGTATACTACATTTACTATGTAGAGTGAAGGTCCTAAGTTGGCATATGGTCAACATGTATACTACATGTACTATGTAGAGTGAAGGCCCTACGTTGGCATATGGTCAACATGTATACTACATGTACTATGTAGAGTGAAGGCCCTACGTTGGCATATGGTCAACATGTATACTACATGTACTATGTAGAGTGAAGGCCCTACGTTGGCATATGGTCAACATGTATACTACATGTACTATGTAGAGTGAAGGCCCTACGTTGGCATATGGTCAACATGTATACTACATGTACTATGTAGAGTGAAGGCCCTACGTTGGCATATGGTCAACATGTATACTACATGTACTATGTTGAGTGAAGGCCCTATGTTGGCATATGGTCAACATGTATACTATGTTGAGTGAAGGCCCTACGATGACATGGTCAACGTGGTGGATGACTGTAGATTAGCTACCTCAATACTTACTGTTATCTCAGTTAAAGGTGAATCTATTTATCTTGTTATACACATGCTGTAGATAATTTCTGTATTGGATCTGTAGATATCATGACCATATCACTTTAGTTCATGAGGAACCTTATATATTGTGAAGAAGTGAAAATGTGAAGTTATCTGCAATTTGAAATTGATTTATTTACAATTTCAAAAACTTGAACTCAGTGATGAGCACATGAAGAAAATTGACCAGACATATAAACCTATCAAAATTTGTCAATCTAACTCTGATGTGATACAGGATCTGACATTTTGACTTTTACAACGAAATCAAAATAATCATCATTCTCAGGATGATAGGCCGATAGGATTTCTTTAAAAATTATTTTTTCTGTTTGGTGCAGTTGGTTATCATATTATCAGCTGATTATTGATCTAAAAATGTGGACTTTTAGAAAAAGTGAAAAATGGAAGAAAACTAACCTGAATAATGTATACTACTCAAAAGAAGTCAAAGAACACCTGATTCTTTCATATTACCATCGTTAACGAGTCATGACCTGACAGATTTACTATGGTAATATGAAACAATCAGGTCTTCCATAACTTCTTTGGAGTAGTATATGTATGGCAAGGTTACTTCTGTTGTGGAGAACACTGATTTCTCCGGAAATGTTACAAGTCATGAAATTACAGATATGTAGATAAAGATAACTTGACATGATGATGACAACATAATGGCTGATTGTTGTAGTTTGGTGATCTCTGCTCTGGTGACAACTTTTTATTCTATTTCATGCTTTTACATATGTCAAGATGCAGAGGTGTGGGGGGGGGGGAAGAGTGGGTCAGTCGTCTAAGGTGCCGCAATTCGCTGTGCAGAGTTGCGTCTCTTGGGCATGCCAGAAACCTATGATTGTGGGTTCGAATCCCTGTTTGCCCCGATTATGTTTCTGGGTTTGTCAGCACCATACCCGCGCTCGTGGGTTTCACCGAAGTGGTAATCGTCTGAGACCTGCATCACTTCAGTCTCTCCTCCCACATTAAGCTGACACGCCGTGATATAACTGGAATACTGTTAAAAGCGGCATTAAGCACAACTCACTCACTCACTCACTCACTCACTCAAGATGCAGGAAAGAGATGAAAGAAACATGGAATCGGGATGAATTTAGTCTGTCCTCATCCTTATGAATAGATATCAAAATGACAATAACACAATGCTCAAAATGACCAATTATGTAATCGGTATTAAGAAGTTGTTTGCTGGATAGCATTACATAATTACAAGTGATAGCGGCGCCATCACAGGCAGGTTGTTTGGTTCTCTGATTTATGCTGTCATCTACAGGGTTGATACAGGGAACCATTACCAAACCAAACCATACGGCCAGCAGAACAATCTTCCCTTCATCATAGAGGTTGAGTGGGAAAGGTTGGTGTTTTCGTTGATGAAGGGAAGTATTATGTTGAATCAACATGGACACGGTTGAAGGTTACAAGGCAACATGAATTATCACTATGTCTTCCACATTCTAAAATGGCATCATATTGAATTCGTGCCAATTGAGATTATCTTGTTTTATTTTTGTACGTTTTGTTAACAAACATGAGATTTCTAGTATGTATTATCAATGATGATTTTCCCATGTTTACAGTGGGATAATTCATTCTTTAGTTCATGTCTAGTTAACATTCTCAAGTGTTTCTTGCCCAAAATGTTCCTCCAGTCTAGTTAGGGAACTAGTATTTGACACTCAGTGGGCGGCAGGGGGCTGGGATTTCATCTGAAAAATAAATGTTTGCAGAAAATGCTTGAAAAAATGAATTATGCTTCAGGAAGTTGAAAAAAATGTCTGTCTGCCACAAAAGATACATTGTTGCATGATACGTTTTAAAAAATATAAATTTTTAGATTAAGAGGTTTAATTAAAAGAATAACTGGTTTTGCAGGTGTAGCTGAAAAAATATCCAGTGTCCATACAACCTCCCAGGCAACCCCCCCCCCCTCGAATAACAAATGGTTGGTCCCTTCTGTATGTAGTTGTAGTACAGTGTGTAAGAGGGTTATCTCAGTAAGTAGGGATTATCATGGTTATTTAACATATGCTTAATCTGATAATAATCTTAACACATATGATTGCATTTATATATTGCTTTGTTGAATATAAATATGTGAATTGTGATGTCAAGATCACTATGCATGCTGTCGAATGAGCCTGTAACCATGGAAACATGCATTTAACAATTTAGTGATTATCGTTTATTCTTGACAGTATACTTGCAGCATTATACTGTAACCCTTAATTAAACATGTCATGAAACTTAGTACAACAGATTGGAAATTGGCATCCAAATTTGACCAAAGTTTTATTTTGAACTGCCAAAGGAGCAAACATTGTTGTGTATGGGAGCTACTCTATGTTGTTAGTCCAAGTTTAATCAAAACATTTATCAAAACATTTATGTTTTTCTGCAGCCTAATATCGTTGCTCAGCAAAGGGTTCTGTAGAGGACTATTTCCTCATTCATTGTTTTTTTTCCAACAAGTATGATGTACAGACTAGTGCAGTCTTCGTTAAGTTAGATGTGTGGCATTTCTGTGTCTAGTCATTTTGAAGTCCCCTGTGAGATAGGGTGTTACCATGGTAGAACTATGACATCACACAGTGCCTAGGTCAGTGTTCAAGGATGACTTATGTATATTTTTGTTTTGAATTGACACAATGTGATGTTTCATAACGTGACCTGTATGGAAACAACAAAAATCCAAATATGACTCTGTACTAGCAGTCAAGCACCTGTAATCATGGTAATGAAACTATGCTTGAAAGAATAAAGAGGCTCATTGATACTTCAGCTTAAAATTTGCTACTTAAAGATAATAAGGATTTTTCTTGCTATTGGTTGCTTTGATTTACTTAATGCAGTGACATGCCTGCTTTGTGGTTCTGTGTAGTTAATAATGCTATAGAGAATGTTTAATTGAAGTCCACTTGTCACGTTAAGTGTAACTCACAGTTGTGTACTCATGTCAGAAATAGGAGATATAATGAATGGGGTAGTGTGGGATGCAACAGTTGAAGAAAATCTGTAAAATAATATTTTGATAAAGGGTTTAGATGTTGTGGAATAGTCCTTTATATAGATGTGTGATCTGGTTGTTATGCTTTTGACTTCGGACCTTGCTGAAATGTACACAGGCATCTTCCTTTTGAGAAATTGTTCTTAAATATGATCCGAGGTTATTAAACATGCTCATATTTCTGACATTTTTTATGGCAGTTTTTGTCAACATTATTCATGTAAATGTTTTATCAAACAAACAATTAAAAGGAAAAACATTGCAGTTTTGAAATAAACATGATAAACAAGCAGTTGTGACAGAGGCAGTCTGTGGCTCTTGGGGGGGATCAGAGTTAGGCTTTGTTTCCTGAAGTTGCTGTTGTAGGCGCAGACTCTTTTGTGTTGACACTAAAGCACCACACCCCTCATGCATACACATCACAGGTTTATTTGGCTTCACACTGTATTGTGTTAAGGCAGAATTATTCAGGTTTCATTGACCCTGTTGTGAGGGTGAGCGATAGGATTACTTCTCCTAGTGAAGATAGAGCATGTTGATATGAAACATGTGGCCATTGTTGTATGTTAATGAATTTAGTTGGGTGTTTTTTGTGTTTTTATTCAGTTTTCAGATACATTTACTGATGTAATGAAATTAAAGGTTGAATACTACAATTATAATTTAATATTTATTTCACATTTTTGTCACACGCATACATATGATATAGAAAGCGAAGTAACTTTTAATTTAAAGAAATAAAACACGCAACAAATTTCTTTAATTTAATTTACATATTTCACTTTTCACTGCTTATTAGTGATCTCTTTTAGAGAATGTTTTCTCAAGTTTCTATCAAAAGATTGAAAGTGGATACCCTTGAACTGGAATAATAATAATTACTTGGCCTAATTGTCTTTCATGGAACATTTGTTTTTGTTTTTATTTTCCGTTCTGAAATAATGCATTTAATATGTGAAATACTTGTTCTGGTACCATTGGAAAAATTAATATCAGTTTTTATTAATGTAAGCCAGATAAATCTTACCTTGCTTATTTCACTTAGAAAATAGACAGCCTTTGAAAGAATATTTGAGTGTTTTTCAAGGAAGTACAGAATATATTGACATTTCACACCTCTGTGAGCACGGAAAGAGCTTCTGTATGTAGGTTAGTAGTAGTGTCCGAGGAGTAACATTCCATTGTGTCATAGTTTACTGTGGTTTCTTGTGCTTATCTAGCATGTCAGGCCAGACCAATTTATTTGCTTGTACACATTTTCTTGGTCAATATGCTGTGAAAGGAATGGCAAAATATTGTGATAGTTAATTTCCTGAAATAAAAACTGGAAAAAAGGCTGTAAAATCAATGAACAAAATGATGTTAAAAAATGTATATTTTTCGACCATTTGTTTTTTGTAATGAGGAGTAGTAGGCTCATCAGTAGAATAAGAAAATATATAGTTATGGCTTTAGGACGACTTTGTATAGTATTAGGTTATACATGTATGTACAAGGTGTTTTTGATGTGCCGTTGTGTGTATTAACACAGGTTTCTATGTAAATAGTGTGGAATTATCAATATTGTGCAGTAACAATAGTTATATCTGTGATATTTATAGTTAGTTTGCATTTACTATTGCACTGGTGACCCAATAGAAATGGCAGCGGTCCCAATAATCTACTGGACAAGCTCTGTTTGTGTGTTGACCAATACAATTACTTGACAAATTTTGTGAAAAATATGACTTTTATTATTGTCGTGAATTTAAGATCCTGAAATTATCATAATATGCATGTGAAAAAGGAAGACCATAGTCCATTTAATCATGACAAGGACCTTTAAACAATGTGGGGCCAAATCATTCTTTTGCAAGGTGGGCCATACATCCATTCTTGAATGATATTTAAGTTAGCTGTGAAGGATATGCTTGATTAATTTACATGTGTTATCTTGCATGCATTTACTGATTTCATAGGTGCGCAAGGTGCTTTCACTGTGGAGAGTTGCATCCCTTAGTTGTTCCAAGATCTGCTGGTCAAAGGTTCCATTTGAAGATTTGCCCAGGTTATCCCCCATGGTCTGTTATCAGTGATTGTGGGCTGTAAATGTGGTTAATGCAACTCTGGACTATCTTGCCACATGAAGTTGTCACATAACTGTATAGTGTTCTATTCAGTGAAGTCCAACTCACCACAAAATAAAATAATGCCAAATAATATGACCTCAGAAAACAGCATTAGTAACACATTTGAGATATGCAAGAGCGATAAGGCAGGAAATAAGAAATTGTTTCTTTACAGATGTAGAAATTTCATCATTTTATGAAGTGCAATATTATAGGATTCAAAACGTTTACGTCAGAGAATAATCAGTCTTGAATATATTAATCTAGACACAATGTGTATAGTTACTAGATATGAAGTGAATCTTGACTTGAATCAAACTTGCATGCCTGAGGGCCTAAGTCTAGTCCCCCTTTAACTTAGTGGACACGGGAGCGGTCGGGTAGCCTAGTGGTTAAAGCGTCACGCCCAAGACCCGGGTTCTATTCCAGACATGGGTACAATGTGTGAAGCCCATTTCCGGTGTCCCCCGCCGTGATATTGCTGGAATATTGCTAAAAGCGGCGTAAAACCATACTCACTCACTCACCCACTCATTCACTTAGTGGACACGTGACATGACAATGATCAACATTGGAGGAGTCTTTTATAGGATAAAGAATGCAGTCTTACTTCTTAATTATATGGGTGCAATGTGTGGA